TTTCTTTGGAGTAACTGCTCAGGTGTGTACCCACTTGGTGCTTTCTTCCCAAGCTCTGAGGAGGTTGCCCCATAAGAGTGTTCATTCCATAGCTATTTTAGAAATCCCTCAGCAGTTTGTGAGAAATGCACATCCCAGGGCTTACTCCCAAAGGCTGACCCAGCAGGTCCTGGTGGGGACCAGGAATTTACACACTAACCATTGCCCCCAGGGGGTTCTGACATGAACATGGTTGGTGGTCAGACTTTGAGTAACTGTTTCACAAAGCGGATGCCAACATTTCATGATCCCATCTCCGGCACCAATTTTAAAAACATACTTCTGATGAAATGTAAGCCATATAAAAATCCTGAATTCATAACATGGAACTTCCCCATCCTTACTGGAGATCATATTACTCTGAAATTCGATAAGGAAAGGAAAGGAAGAGGCCTTCCCTGTATAAACATTTATGGAGTAACCAAATAGTCTGTGAGGGAACGCTGTTCCTTGTGGAAGTCTAGCTATTAGATGCAGAAGGAATGATTCTCAAATTTAATTACTTCTTTACAGCTACTAGTGAGATAAAGAGTGTAAGGAATGAACATAAAGGGAAGACAGACACTCCGTGACAGGGTGACAGCTAACATTGAAATGGGGAAATCAGACCAACACCCCCTGAACCAATAGTGCAGCCTAGAAAGATGGAAGGGTTGTGCCATTTTGTGCCTGGTGATACAATGCACTGGGAAGTCAGCTTCTAAGAAATAAAGAAACAAATAAAATACACTAAGGGGAAGCAAAAAGACAAACACAAAATGTGCGTCATTTACAGGACAATCACCCAACTTCTACAACAAACCAGTGCCCAGATAAAGGAGGATTATTACAAAATAGGAGACTTAAAGACATAACCAAATACTATGTGTAGATCTTGTTTGGATTCTGATTAGAAGACCATACGGAAAATCTGAACATGGACCAGGTTTTGAATAATTTAAAATATATATTGTTATCCTGGTCGGGTCGTTCAGTTGGTTAGAGTATCGTCTTGATATGCCAGGGTTGTGGGTTTGATCTCGTCTGGACACATACCAGAAGCAACCAGTGACTACATGAATAAGTGGAACCGCAAATGGATGGTTCCTCTCCCTCTCTCTAAAAAAAAAAAAATCAATAAAAAATTTAAAAAATATATTAGGTGTGATGACATATAGTTATGTTTTAAAATATTATCAATTAGAAATACAAACGAAAACTTTTTACAGGTGAAATGACACAATGTCTGAAATTCCCTTGAAAATGATCAGAAAAAAAGGTAAGTGGTCAGATGAATGAGATGGGCAAGCTATTGCTAATTGAAGAAGCTCAGTGCTGGGTACGTGGAGCTTCAGCCTTCTCTTATTTGGGGGTATGCTTGAAATGTTACCTAATAATGTTTTTTTTTTTAAGTATACTGTTGCTGTGAGCACTTACCCCTTACAAGTCAGGCTAATGAGTTCAAGAAGTTGAGGTTATTGCTCAAGAATGAAAGATTCCCTTCCCCTGATGGCTCCTCTATGAACGCCATTGGAAAAACATTGGGACGTCAAAACTGTTTTCATATCTTAAAATCTTTCTTTTCTCCCTCAAAGCCTGGAAAAGCACTGGTGGTGTTTTTTTCCTTCGGCCACATTACCCTCTTCTGTGGTAGCTTAATGAGGCACACAGAGTAAATGGAACTCCATTTGCTGCTCCGGCTGCTCTGACACCATTAAAAGACCCTTAAAAGCATCACTCATCTATTAAGTGAAAGCAAATTCTTGTCATTAAATTAAGGGAAAACAACTCTTTCTACTCAGGAGTTCCTGGTGTTGTAAAGTACTCTATTTAGATAATGGAAAATATAATGAAAAAGTGTTGAAGCAAAAATGGTTGTACTTCCTTGTAGCATATTTCTAGAGTAAAAGGATTGCTCTCTTTGAATATCTGCAACTTACTTTGTTCTTGGTCGCCTAAAAGAAAATGGCTTCAGGTTAAGAATTAAGATTTCCCGAACTCAAAAGTACTGTCATTAATTAATCTGAGTGCATCTGTGAATGTTGGGGTCAATACTGTAAAAGATCTATCTGTGTAGTAATTTAATTCGTGGAAGCTATTTAGCTTCATTACCTCTCAAGCTACATTTGGCTACTTCACTCACTCCAGGGTGACTGGCATCCACCACACAATTCTCTTGCCCATCATTCCTTCTTTTTAAAAATTTGTATTGATTCGAGAGAAACCGGTTTGTTGCATTCATTGATTGACTCTTATACGTGCCCTGACGTGGAATTGAACCCAAAATCTTGGCATCTCTGGACGATGCTCTAACCAACTGAGCTACCCGGCAAGGGCAATCCATCATTCCTTCAAATGTCTACCTCCAACCCAGAAGACATCACCCCTTAACTGAGACCCCTTTCAATAATTCTGCAAGTAATATTTCTAACAAGTCTTAGGCAAAGACCTACCAGCTGCTTGTTGGGCTCTCCTATGAAATGTTAAATGCCAATAAAATCCAGGTTTAAAGACAGAGCTTCTCAAAATGCCTTCTCGGAACACTTGCATCAACATTGACTCACCTATTGAAAAGATTCCTGGGCCCCCTCTTGTCTATATCAAATTCGCCACTGATGGAGCCTAAATTCCTGCACCTTTAGCAGTCGTGCCAGGTAGTTCTTCCACACCCTAAAGTTTGACAACCATTTTTCAAGAATAGGGGGTTCCTCTCAAGGCTGTGATAATAAACAAATGAAACAGCATCAGGAGTACGCAATCAGCCAGCATGTGAAACTCTACAGGGGTCCTCAAACTATGGCCCGCGGGCCACATGCAAATACAAATATTGTATTTGTTCCCGTTTTGTTTTTTTTACTTCAAAATAAGATATGTGCAGTGCGCATAGGAATTTGTTCATAGTTTTTTTTTTTAACTATAGTCCGGCCCTCCAACGGTCTGAGGGACAGTGAACTGGCCCCGTTTAAAAAGTTTGAGAACCCCTGCTCTAGGACAATGGATATGACATGGTTTTAAAAAAAATCAAAGGATACCCACTGATAAATGGATAAACAAAATTCAGGATATCCAATCAGTGGGATATTCTGCAGGCATAAAGAGGAATGACATCCCAGCATTGCATAGTACTGCTCTTGTTTGTTGGGCATTGAAAATATTATGCTGTTTAGATCCAGAGACAGAGAAGCATCCATCAGACCGTCAAACCTCACAGGGAAGGTAGGGGCAGGTGGGGGTAAGGGGAAATCAACCAAAGGACTTGTATGCATGCATATAAGCCAAACCAATGGACACAGACAACAGGGGGGTGAGGACATGAGTGGGGGAGTAATGGGGGAAGAAGGACACATATGTAATACCTTAATCAATAATTTAAAAATATATATTATGCTGTTTAAATGCAGGTGAGGGCACATGCCCAGGTTGTGGGCTGGATCCCATGTGGGGCATGCAGGAGGCAGCTGATCAATGATTCTCATCATTGAGGTTTCTCTCCCTTTCCCTTCCTCTCTGAAATCAATATAAATATTTTACCTTATTTGAATCTTGATTCACACTGTAAAATAGGATTTTTCTTATTTTTTACAATGGAGGAAACTGAGTGTGGATTTAAAATTATTTTCTTAGCAATCCTACTGGTATTGTTGCCAGGTCTGATTCTTTTCTATTGACATGAATACTGAAATATTTAGTGATGAAATACATGTTGGGTTTTCTTTAAAATACTTAAAAAAAATACACAGGGCCTTATTGAATTATATCTTCATGCATATTTGGTAATTTTCATAAGCTCTAAGGATAAAGAAATTTAAGGTTTCTTGATTGTCTTAATTTGTTTAGATTCCAAAGATTTGTTGTAGCTGAAATGTTAGGGTGAGATTAAAGGGCAAGTGCTAGAGGCAAGTTCTTAAACTATCAGCAGAAAAATGTCAGAATTTATATTCCTATTGACTTGGAGAAATTAATGGACAGAGTGGAAGGGCACTGGGCTCAATGTTCCTCATCTTTCCCCCTCGATCCTTGGAGCACACCGGCTGTGTGCAGTCAGTTTCAGCATTACAGTCAAGTGTGGCCTGTCTGCTAGATAACCAGAACCCTTTTCTCCCCAATGTCACATGTGCAAACTGATAATCCTCTTGCCATATAACTAGGACTTCGGGAAAAATTGTTGAGTTTAAGAATGCTAAATCACCTTGGCTAGGAAGTATTCTGCATGAGCATCAAAAACCGTGGACACATGGAAGTTTAAAAGATTATAAGCACTCTTTAGGTTACTGACACTGAGCTTGGTCAGTACCTTCTTTATGAAGATCCAGGGGAAACTTCAAGATTTTTTGGGGTATCTCATTTTTTTAATGAATTTTATTGATTTTTTACAGAGGGCTAGAAACCGATCAGCTGCCTTCTGCACACCCCCTACTAGGGATGTGCCCACAACCAAGGTGCATGCCCTTGACCAGAATCGAACCTGGGACCCTCTTCAGTCCAAAGGCCAATGATCTATCCACTGAGCCAAAACCGGTTAGGGCTGGGTGTCTCATTTCTATTTCCGATTTTTGCATTGACTTGTTGGGCAGCTCAGCAAATCTTTTGACCTCCTAGCAATATACAGAGCCTAATGCACTATAATTTTATGCACTTTGGGGTCTTTTGGACTTTATCGTTTTGTTGCCTCCCGCCTCATACACCCCACTATCTTTTGGTTTACAGGACAACGCTCCAGCAGAGCCACGCCGGACTTCCCCTTATTTCCCCTATACTACAATTTCCTGTTTTTAGAATTTCATTGGAATATATTCTTATAAACTACATTCAAACTCTTTGTGAACTAAAATAGGGTAGTATAAGCAATGAACAAACAAAAAATAAATTTACAAATAAATATAAAAGTTATAAGGCTGGATTTTATAGAACATGGAAAAATCAAAAAAATGAAATTTAGAAAACAAAAACGTGTCATTATGAAATAAGCACTGACTCCAAAGTGGATATTATATACCTTTATTAGAGATTTCAAGAAAATGAGTTTGACATTAAGCTGGGCACCAGGAAGGACTTTTAGCACACACCTGCCTGTGTTCATCTCGCTGCAGTCACATTTCTTCCCTTATGAAAGCTTTCCCCATCGCCACCAGTACTTTCCTATCCTATTTAGCACCACCGTCTTTTATATCCCTTCTTACATTATGCAATATTCATTTTAAAAAAATGCTGACATATGCCCATTTGGGCCAAATTTTGGAGCTTTTGTAGATTCAATGTAAATGCTGTTTAGAACTTAATTCTTAATATCTGCCCTGTGGTCCTTGCCCCCCGCTCCTCAGTTGGCCTAACCTATTTCAGTATGTTACACTCCATCTCAAGAGAAAGGACTTTCCAGGTCACGTAGCCAAAAAGTTGCATATAAGGCTTCCTGTTCAGGGCCACACATAGGTGATGGGGGCTCGAGCCACTACCTAACCTTTGCACCTGCACCAAGCACCCGCTTGGTCGGAATTTGCCCACTAGTGGTCGGCCCCAGAGACTGACTACAGGCTGCCCAGAGGCGGTCCAAGGCAGTGTTGGTTTCACCCGTCAGAACCCCAGGGCAGGCCGCTCGTGTCTACTTTCCTACCTAACCTCCCTCCCCCACAAGTTATGGGAACCCAATTCTTTGGGGTCTTCTGGGCAAAGACTGCTCTGGCTGCTTCAAGCTATTTGGGGTCATTGTGGGGCTTTGGGTTCCCATGCCTGCTGTTCACTGAAGGATGTGGGTGCGGACGTCCGTCCACGGGCCAGGAATAAGAGGAGTCTGTTCCATGGGAGTGAGGACCTGGTACCCTTCAGACAGAGCTGTATGGCTGCTATATAAGGAATGTGTTGAATAAATTAAGGTGGCATGGGCCCAAATATTAGGAGCCAGAATTATGGTCGCAGCAAAGGAAAGGGGAAGAGAAGCCAAGATTTGGCATTCCAGAAGGAGTCCCCAGTAATCTGTTGCTTGCCCTTTCAAAGATGTCTGGTGTTTTGTTGTACCTGCCCTGATTGATATAGAGGCAACATTCCTCCTTTAGGTGTTAACAGGTACCACGTTCTGCTCTCAAGGGCTACAGGCTAAGGAATCAAGTTGCTCTTCTAACATGTTTAGTTTTCTCCTGTCTTAGGGCAGCAGCTGTGTTTTGGGATAAAAGCTGTTGGATCCCCAGTAAGGCTCCTACAGCTGCCCCCTCCCCACAGGAGGATGGCGGGGGATGAGAAACCCTGCTCGTCCATTTAGATGACTTCCGAAATGGAGAGGGAAAGGGGGCTGTTATTCCAGGCTATAGAGTCATCATGCTGACATAGGGATGACATAACCTAGAGAGCAAATACCTCTCCATCCAGCGGACAAAGCCAGGTAGGCACAGGATCCCCAAATCCAGGAAATTCCCTCGGAAGGGCAAGTTCTTCAGTTACCTGGATGTCAGCGTAAGAATACTTTCCCCAGAGGCCTGGCTTCCCCTTCCCATGGAGAATCTGGTTCCCCAGAGTTGGACTCCCTGGGCTGCAAATGTGGCTGTGGTTAGGGGGTCAAGTAGAGGGGTTATAGATTTTTTTTTCATGAATTCTTTCAAGAAATAGGGGCCCCCTTTGGGGATTCAAATGCAGGGTGTTTTGAGAATCACAGATAAGAGTGACACAATTGCCCTTCGCCCTTAGTAAAAGGCTACGTCCTTATGGGGCTTTCCATGGCAATATCGGGATTTGGGGAGCCTCTCGTTGGACTACATCAGCAATAAGTGCTCCCCAATTCCAGAGATGTTGGTTTTATAGATCCCCAGCAGGTGGGATTGAATTGTAAAGTAATGGCAATAAGGTTGGCCAATTGATAAGCACTACCGGAATTAGCTAGGGTGAATTAGGAGATAATAGAAGAGACTGCTGAGCCTTATCTGGAATTTAGAAGCATTCTGGTTTGTTTTGGGGTCTTTTTTTGCAAAAAAGGTGTAAACCAGGTCCAGAGGAAGTAGGTCCTCAGCCTGTACCTAGGGTTTGATCCTAGTATAGTGGGCCCAACTGGCAACCCCTGGAACTTTATCATATGAGAGAACTGGGTAGGTCCTTCCCATCCTTGACTAAGACTTGTGTCCCTGGTGGGTATAAGGGTGGTCCAGAGTCCTTTGAGGATTGGTGGGGGGACTTAATGTTGCGTTATCTGTAAAATTAGAGAACAGTGTTGACTTCACATAATTGTGAGAATTAAATGAAAAGATGGAAATGAGGTGCCCACTGCACTGCTCTCTCACCACCAGCTACCGCGTGTGAACTCATGGGCACATGGCTGCTACAACTTACACAACAATGCCTGACCTCATTAAGCGAACTTAGCCTGAAAGTTGGTTTTGAATCCGTTAAAATACCAGCATCACAGCACTCCAGCATCAACGGCTTGTACCTGTTGTTTTCAACCTATAAAAGAAAAGAGTTTTTGAATGACTAAACGGTTACGAAACTTTTGACATGTCGTCTTCTGTTTGTCTCAAATGTTCAGAAAAAGCCTTGCGTACATGTGGTTCTACCATCTGGATTTCTTCCGCCTTCAAAGACAACCAAAGTACCCAAACTCCCCTATCTATTTGAAAACACTAGACAGGCATCCCCAGAGTTTTAAAAGCAGGCCTGAAGGTATCACTACCGCTAAGGTTAAATGTATCATTTTGCTCATGACTGTGTAAAAATAACACAAAAACTGCTCAAACTGAAAGGGAAATTTTCTGGTTTCAGCTGTGACTCCAGACAGGATCCAAAGAGGAGTTTTACCATCTCTTCTCTGGGTTTTATGGAGACTTGCTTTACCCTTCTGTGTTAGCCTCTTAAGGCACTGAGTCAGCCTTAAAAGGGCACAGGAAAGGGTGACGTGGGGTTCTCTACGGTGTCCTGCAGGCCGCTCTCGCCAGTACCCCCCGGTTAACGATCCGACCCCATTAGATGCAGCTGTTCTGCCCCGCGGAGCCGAGAAGGTAAATGCACTTCACGTTAGGCGGGTAGACGCCGGCCTTTGCACTAAACCGGCGCCCGGGCACCCTCTGGTCGCCATGTGCCACGTGCTCTGGGCCTGGGTGATTTCATTCCAAAAAAAAGGGACGTACCTGCGCTTAGACCTCAGGCGGCTGCACCCACAGGCGTCGGAGACACACTCCCCAGGCCCAAGGTCGCGCTGGGGCCCGCTCTCGCCCCCGCAGGCCGGGTGGGGCCGGGACCCCAGCAGCTAC